TTACAGAGAATGCAGGTTTTAAGATACTTATGTTGGCTTAACTTTTCAGACCCGAAGCTCTGTCCATTATATATACTGTCAATGGTTGCAACACATTAACCACATTAATGGATAGAGATGACTGGAACCGGTAAGAAGAGACAGGGAGACTTAATAAATTACATTTGAAAATGACCAAACTAGAAGTCGACCCAAGCCTTTTGCAACAAAATGGCTCAAACTCCCAATAACCCAAAATCCACTACTGGATGTTGACCTGTTTGGGTCAGGTAGCAGAATTCTAGTAGCCATTTAATAGATGTTGCTGTGTTTCAGGTCTCGGCAATTAACTTGGTGAGTACAATGTTAGTATTACTGACAACAATTAAGGCCAAAACAACAAACGTAAGACCCAAGTTGGAATAAACCAGGATTTCCTTCTAATTATCTTCTCACATTTATTACAAAAACTGAATTGTGTGTGTTTCATGTTCATTAATTAAACAGCGGTCACACCACAAAGTAACATTTACTCATTGATGCAAAATGGGATGGCCCGTAAGCCAAGTGACATATTGACTACTCACAGGGTTATATCTGACAGAGGAGATTCAATAAAACTGGAGGGTGACACACAGCTAATGAAGGTCAAAGGTCAGCACTTTCAAGACAGCTTGCTATTGGTCAATTGCACAAATTCTCATGTCAAAATTCACCAAAAAAATATTTATTTAATTTGCCTCCTCAAGCAGTTCCTCCACGAAATCTTGTCGCTTTAAATCCCAGTGTGTCCAGGCCTATAAACTAATAAAAACATGTATTCCTACTGGTAAAAGTTACTGCATTTTTTGACTTAGACACTGATTTAACATTAAGTTTAAAATGTTGTGTGTATGATACAGAGGGAGGCAACAATCCATCGCTCCAAGTTAAGAGATGGCCCCTTCAAGCTCAACCTTCACCCCAGAGATTATTTCCAAGGCAATCCATACCGCAGTGACAAGCCACTCCCACCAGCACAAAAGCCCCTCCCACCTGGACAGAAAGTCTCTCCGGTTCCCTTTAAGCCTTCGTCCCCTAGCAAAAAGGTGATTGTCCCTCTATGTGCTGTCAGGATTAGAGGGAAATATCTGACTGAAAAGTCTACTGCTGACCATTCAGTGACACCAAGCTGTGATATTATATTTTATTGTACATTTTTAACAGTGTGAATGTGTCTTGTGTTAGATTGGAGGAATGAAAGCGGGGACGTTTGACACTTACCCCTCGCATTCTGCTGATCCATACGTCATTCGCCGCTCTAAACCAACCAATCTAGAGCCAGTCTTCCGTCCTGTTCCTGGTCCTAAGAGCACACCTGTCAAGAGTATCATCACCGTCAATGTTAACAGGTTAATCCCTGTCTCCCGTTATTGATCTTCTCTTTCTCTGTTCTCAAATGGAGGGCTTTCAGACACATATCACCTCGCCATAGTGAGTCCTCGTTTATAGGAATAGTCCCAAAATTAAGGAAGCATCTGTTTAGGTGACAGTTACAAGTAGGAAGTTGAAGTTTCATTAAGGTAGGACCAGTGTTGGGGTTGTTACACAAAAAAGTAATGTATTACACATTTACACATTACTTTTCTTTTAAAAAGTAATACATTACATTACCTAAAGGTCCAGTGTGTACCATTTAAGAGGATCTATTATCAGAAATGGAATAGACAAATCAGACAAATACCTTCCCACATAAAATGTTGAGCTATACATCACCAATTGAACCTGTCCAAACAGGGCAATTTTATTATTACTGAAACAAGTTGCCTTTGATTCGATTAATACAGAAAAACTGCTGAGAAATCAGGCATTTAAGGTCACAAAAATCCCCCCAAAATAAAATGAAAACTTATTTACTAATTTAAAAAAGTGACATTTGGGAGATTAAATTTATCCAACCTTTGATAAAAATTACTTTGAATTAGCTCTGACATTTTCCAGATATTATTAGTAGTTATGTTAAATTTGATATATTCAGTTTCAGATGTATTCCCTGAGGAGAGCTGTGATTTCAGCCACCAGCTTTTGCAAGATAAATAGTCAAACCTGTGCAAAACATTGAATTTAAACCTGTTTTTCCGTTTGTTGTTTCAGGAGTGTGCACTCCGCTAACTACACCTTATCCATTCCAACTGGGATGACCTTCTGACTACATTACCCATACTGCACCTACACTAGCTGACTTGTTTACCTGCTATATACTATAGAAGTTTTTTTACTGCATCTGTTTTACTATAAGCTCTGATGAGATTCTTACACACATAATGCTGTTTTTATTCCATTACATGAAGACGATACAGCTTTAGCAATCTTCAGTGATCTATGTTTCCTTTCTATTCATAGGTTATATTTGTAATGTTGTGGATCTCACATACAGTAACAAAATCAACAAGGAACACAAATAAAGTTGAGAAGTGATTTTGAGAGTTATTTATGTCTTTAATTCTGGATGTCCATACAACCACACAATACAGCCACATAATCAACCCAACATGACAACACTTAGGCTCCAAGTCTGCAAGCAATGTGTGTCCTGTCATTAGTACAACAAGCAGCAGACACTGCGGTCAACAACACAAACAGCATCAAAAAAACAACTATTTATTAAAAGGCCAGACAGCCAGCATATATTGCAAGTCTGTCATCACAAAGGATGAATCTGAAACCATTTACAATGATGTTTTCATCCAGCAGCTGTCATTTTGAATCCAAGCCAGCAAACAAAATTAAGATGGAAGTGCTTACATTCAGCGGCTGGAACTATCCAGCTAACTTTGATTTTCAAAAAAACAAACAAAAAACCCTGAGACTTTAATCGTCGTATGTCAGAATTTTAGGGATAAAGGACCAAAATTACCATTTTCGAGTAGAAGAAAAGTAATATAACTATTAGTGTAATAATTGGCAGGGAGTAATAAGTAAAGTAATAATATTGCAAAAAAAAAAGTACTAATAAGATAATAAATTACATTTATGAGCCGAATGCAGAGACAGAGAAATGGCCAATAGAGGACTTTATTTCAAAAGCTGAGGATTGGAGGATGAGAGGGAGAATGGATGCTGTCTGATCTGAGCTGAGCAGGGAAAGAAGGCAGACAGACAGGTTGGGCTGACTGAGCTCTCGCTAGTGGCTGAAGCAACAATCTAGTGAGGAGTAGATGAAAGACCGGGGTCTGGCAGGTGAGCCAGCAATCAGGAAGGTGTGCAGGTGATTTGGCAATCAGGCAGCTGGGAGAGAAAGACACCCACAGACACTAACACACACAAACATACACAGAGGAAGACAGGCAGGTGGAAAAAGCACTACAAACACAAGGTTTCTTGACACTAATCAAGACAGAAACCTGGATTACTTTTGCTTTTAAAAATGATCACCACAGAGTGTCACTAGCTGTCACAGGTTGCCAAATGCTGCCACAAAATACCACCAGCTACCAAAGGGTGCTACTAGCTGCAACAGGGTGCCACAAGCTACCACTGTGTGCTTTTAGTTGCCAGAGGTTGCCATAAGCAGCCACAGAGTGCCACAAGCTGGCACTAACCATGACAGTCACTAGGTGCCACAAAACTCAACAAAAGAGGACTACAAGAGCTGGCGCAGACTGCCACTTGCTGCCCCAGGGCGCCACATGCTGCCAATATGTCCTACTGGCTGCCACAGAGTACCACAGAGTACCACAGAGTACCACAGGTTGCACATGCTGCCACAGGGTGCCAGTCAGTGGTAGCTTGTGGCACCACAAGCATTTGCACTCTGTGGCAGCCAGAGTTCTGTTTGTTTCTGCATATTTACATATTTCCTAAAAAAACAGGCAGCTAGGCAGGGACATGATGCAGTAGCCAGTAGGTGTGTGTTACGTCCCCAGTTAAGCAGCTGTAGCAGACTAGCTGACTCCAGTGTTGCCGCTAAATGAAGTCATCGCCTAATTTGCATAATTGGCCATTTGCCTGATGTAAACGTTTTTTTACATCACAAAGTTTGGCGTAGAAATCAGCCTTACAATACATGCAGTACGCCCATGTATCATTTCCAATAAACGGCTGTAACCAGCCTTTGAATTCAGGATTTGATTCACTCCTTTCTATATTTTTGAGTTTAGATTGAGACATGATGAGCTAGCTAGCTAGATGTTTAGCTTATGTCACAGAGAGGCATACACAGTGGATGAGGTGAGTAAGTGACTGAGGCTGTGTGAGTCAAATGCAGTGATTTATTTTTGTGTGAGAGTGAGTGAAGAAACATTTACATTTACACCCCGCTCTGTAAGCCAGGGCGGGAACGGCGGCGGCCATGCGCGGAGTGGTGTGTGTGTCTCCTCTCTGCTCTGACTGCAGGCTGGGACTGCTGCGCGACGCTACTGTGAGACTGACCGCCTGTGAGTGCTTCTGGACGGGGGAGGGGCTCACGGCAGCACCCGCTGCTCGTTGTGCACAGTAACTGAAGAGTGATACGTGCTTTCACGTCAGAGTCTCCAAACANNGCTAGTCGCTTTTGACAAAAAAAAAGTCGCCAGGAGGATTTGGAAAGTTGCCAGATTTAGCGAGAAAGTCGCCAAGTTGGCAACACTGGCTGATTCTGTCAAGACTGTTGGCTCACAGCGAGCAGCGCGGCTAGACCGGGACTGAACCGACGGAGGAGAGTTTAACGACAGTGGTTACAGTACCAAGCAGTCGCGGCTGGCCAATAGAGGGCGCTAGGGCGCCGCCCCCCTTGAGCCACAAAAAAAAAATTAATAAAAATAAATTTAAAAAATAAAAATAATAATAATAATGATAAAAATATCAGTATGTCAATATTTGTGTGTTTGAAATATGGAATGCACCCAGTAATATGTGTAAAATATGATAGAAAATCATATTCGCAACCTATCCTCTGCCTGTCTGAACGCCTCATCAGCTCTGGGGCGATAGAGAAAGCGCCCCCAGGAGGCGGGTCTATGTAGCAGTTAAGCCAATTGCTAATGCCAATTGAGCTGGGCCCAGATCAACCTGACCTCTCAATCAGACAGCAGGCACGGCTTCTCCCGTAGCTGGTACACCTGGACACCAGGAAGGCTTGCTAGCGGGTGCAACTCATGCTAATGCTGTATTTTGCTTTCCGTGCTTTTGCTTTCTTAAAACGGGGGAAGATCCAGCTGGACAGTTTACCGAGTGAGGGATATGAAGCCTGTCAAGAGAAGGTAAATGAAACATGAGAACACCAGGTGCACCTGGATACATCAAGTCAGAATCCAAACGACTTGAGATACATCCCCGCTCGGAATTAATTGAAAGGTGGGGTAGCAAGAAACAAGGAAAATAACATCTGTAAAAGCTAGCATATTGAGGAAGACTGAACATCGATAACAGCAGCTGGATGACGGCCAAGGATCTGCGGTAGGAAACATCAACGAGGAGGTGGAGTAAAAACAGGCACAGATTTCAACAATTATCAATTGTGTGAAGTTTCTTGTGCGCGCTTTTGAGTGGCCTTTGCGTGGGCAAATGACGAGACTGACTCGGACTCCCTGGACAAACCATTTTCCAGGCTCTTGGTGGATTTTTGTTGCTCCTTCGACAGTGTGGGAGGCCTTGAGAGAACAGCTACCGTTTTTTAAGGCACGTCAAAGACGACAGAACGACTGTTTGGACGCATGCTGTAAGTGCTTAAGGATACATTCCTGCAGGAAGTTAAAGGTGCTGATTTTATCGCCATTCAGCGCGAGACGACTGACATTTCCACCCACTGCCAGCTGGTGCTTGGTGCACGCTACATTGATGCTAACGTAAAACATCCAAGAGCGGTTTTTTCGAGTTCATTATCAGAACGCGATACCGCCGACACCATCGCTACAAGCGCTGCTGGAGAGGCTCCAGCACCATCTCACCTCTCACATGGACAAAAGGCCAAACTACTTTGGCCAGACCTTCAATGACGGAGGCAAGTGGATGAGGGGAGCCACCGCGGAGTAGAGCCGTAAATAGTGGATGTGTACGAAAATGTGCACTAGTCACTGCTATGCACATCAGCTGAACCTCATCATGAAGCAGGCTACTTCACGCATAAGAGGATTTTATTCAGTTGCAGGATTTTTATACATCCCAAGCGACACATGCTTGAACCACAAGACTACCGAGCTCTACAACCGTGGATTCCAGTGCGTGATAAACAGTACGAGCACAGGTACCATCCATACGTGTTAATCCAGACCATCAGGAATCTGACATATTAGACCCACTTTACAGAGGATGGGGGGCTAATTGTGAGGACATGCTAAGAAATTTCATGTTTTATTCATGGCACTAAACACAAGCTTAATACACTAAAGAAAGGACAAACACCTAAATTCAAAAGCACATATATAGAGACAAGGTCACAGAAAGACTAATGAATATAAACATGTATAGAAATTTTATAACAGTTTTTGTTTCACGGTAGATAGACTATATGAGAATGATCAGGTGATACAAGGTGAAGAGAGAAGAGAGAGGTTAGAGATAACAAGAGAATAATTAAAATTATCACATATAACTATGCCTCACATTCTCTTCTGATGATGGGGCACTACGCGCATCTGACGAGCAACCAGCAACCATAAAGCGCGGCGGTATGACCAAGAAGAGGCTGGCTACAGAGCGCAAAGTTTGATGTCAAAAATTTTCTACGAACTAAATATTCAGGAGTATATTGCAAAAGACAGCACATAGAAAACACATGACTAGAGAGATATGGTATTAAGAATACACTTGCATCAAAATAGCTTTATTGCAAATTAAAGCTGATGATGTATTTTTCACGTATGTCGCATAGCATACATAATCATCCAACTGCCGGGTTTCACAACACACACCTCATAGCAAGAACAAAAGTTCGCACGCGAACAGTCTGCTCCACAAACACCGTGACAGTTCCGATAAGTGATCAATGAACACCGAAAAAGAAGAATAAAAAAAGAAGCTCTCATCCTTATAAAAGAAAGCAGTTCAAGGAGAAAGTGGAGAAAGATAAATAGATAATAATATAAAAAAAACCTTACAGAGCACTTTCACAGAGACTGTCAGCCTCTCAAGTCTCATCACCTACACCCATAAAAAAAAAAAAAACAAAAAAGGAAACCTATCTCTACACTGAAGAGGATCAAGACCATTCCTGTATGAAATCAACGAACAAGGATTCCGCCCACAATGTCTCTGGCTAATGCTCTCCATGGAGAAGAAATTGTCAGGCGACATTCCTGACTTTAATTTAAAGGGTCAATTGAGAGGATTTGCATTCAGCCAAAAAGACTAGTAGAGCATAGAGATCCTGGACAAATAAGATGACACACACGACAACACAACACACATATTCATATTCACTACACACGACACTAGACGACACCGAACCGCAGACTGGACGCACATGTGATATCTTAT